TGTATGTATGTACGTTTGTATGTATGTACGTATTTATGTATGTGTACGTATTTGTTTTATTTACATACCCGCACTTACGACTGTGTACACTCGCACATACACAAAAAAGCGCTATATACGTACCACATACAACCACTTGCGCTTCATGCTTACATGCATCGCCAGTGATTACAGCCAATTATGTAGTAGAAACACAGCTCAATATATGGGAGCATGTATGGGAGTATGCGTGTCTGTATGTATGTCTGCACCACGAATACGACAATCCATGTGATTGCACTCTCTCTGCCTCTGTGTCTGTCTCTTTCTCAAGGATGTGTGCAGACTATGACAAAGGCATGCACACAGCACAGCCGACAAGGACCGTGGCCAGCACCGGGACAACCCTTACCTTCCGCACGAGCGGCTGAGCACGCACTTGGGCACCGGGATGCCGTGGAACCTGCACTCTGGTCTGAAGGTATCTCGGATTTTCAACCGATCAAGTGTCCAGGCTTGAGGAAGGGTGTTGGGCTGAGTGTTGTGCCGGATCCTACTTGGCCGATGTTTTCTGGGTGACCGGATTTGGAACCTCGGGGACCGGCCCCCGTCCAACAGGACCAGGAGTAACGGGTGGCGATTCCGAAAAGCGCGCTGGGGAGGACGTCCAAGGGCTTTGCGGCTGACGGCTTCAAAATTCACAAAACTTAACATGGAAGCAAGCATTTGAAGTCTGGGGCTGCACACATTGGCGTGGGAATGTGAGGATAGTACTTACTAGACACCTTTGAAGCATGAAGAAGTGTACTATACTCATCATCATTGTCGAACCATCATGGCAATCACCCTCATCTGCGAAATTATCAGGGCCACGATCATCATCATTGTCATCATCAACATCACCATCAGCAGCATCCTCTTCCACCTTGGCATTCCTCATGTTTGTCTTCGCTTGATACAAGGCACTATACCAAGTCTTGCAAAGACGCTCTCCACTGCGATTCTCCACCAGGATACAGGCTTGCCCCAGACACCACCCCCGTGAGGCCCCCGTGACCACGTCCTCCGTAAGTGCTTGTCGGCGATTGTGAATGCATGGAACCTTCAACATCAATGATTCATGGGACATAAAGCCGTCCGGCAGCCCAAAACACAATGGTTTGCATAGAGCCTTCGAGTCCCCTGAACTTTCCACCAGGTTCCACTGCGACGCAGCTAAGCGAAGCTACATTTCTGCTTGCGGCACCCCCAACTTTCCAACAGGATGCAAACAGCTTCCCGTATTCAACATCGTACTTCCTAAATCCAGTGCTGTAACCTTAGCCTTAACCCCAAACCTCAAACCCTTTGTCAACCCGAACCCCCCAAACCTTGAAGAAAAGGAAAAGCGAAGACACGTGCGTTGGAGATGGGCCTCATGACGTCTCCGGCACGGAAGTCGGCGATCACGAGTCGCACCTGTCCTTCGTCTCTGGATGTGTTTGGTTTAGGTTTGTTTTTGGTATAGGGTTCGGGCCTGGGTAAGGGTTTCCTGCGCAACCCTCTCGTGTTTTCCAACTCAAAAACTGATGCCGATCTGGCAGGCAGACGATTGACCTACCCCGGATCTTTCAACTTCGGAAACCCCAAGAAAAATGTGCCCTTGAGGAAACTCCTTCTGCGCAGGGGCTTCCTACATTCCTGCACCAACCGGGCGAGTTCAAAACTTGGGCCCTAAACCCTAAACCCTAAACCCTAAAACCCCAAAGGCGGCTTAGGGTTTCTGGATCCAGTGCCAGCCAGGCATCGGATCAACAAGAAACACCTCGGCCACCGCAGGGAGTCGTAACTTGCAATGCACCGGAGCGCAAATCTCATGCGAAGGGGCTTGGAGGTTCATGGGTAGTTATAAATGGGTTATAAGTCCCCTAATATGGGTTATAACTATAGTTAGCCTACTTATAACTGCACTTATAACTACCCATGAACCTCCAAGGGAGGGGGTGCTGAGGCTTCCGCATGCTGCCAAGGTAGATGAAGCATCGGCAGATGAAAACCACGAGGTTCTCAGTCTCACCCATTTGGCTGTTGGCGGTTCTTGTGAAGACAGACTGGCCTCGGCCGCAGGTCAAAACGGATGCAAGGAAAGACCATGCCTTCAGCGGCTGACAGATTGCGAAATCGCGAACATGCGACCACATGAGCCCGAACCAAGAGTCATTGCACCTTTTGTCCAGAACAGGGGCTGATGATGAAAACTGCCAGGGTGAAGGCAAAGTAGAGCCGCCTCTGCTTACATGGAGGTCTAGGCTTGCGCAGGGAACCCTAAACCCTAAAACACAATTCCGAGGTCTTGCGGTCCTTCGCGCTTTTCAAGTGGCGCGCCTCTTGACGCTCCTACACAGCGTAAGGGTATATTGTACCATCGCAGCTGCAGGTGAACACTTCTTCCAGGTGGACTTCCTAGCCCTAGACCGGATTTAGGGTTCAGGCTGTTTAGGGAGATTCAACGACCAAACCCCTTTAGCATTGAAGGCTTCTTGCAGCAGCGCATCTCCGCAAGGAAGTGGTACATTACCACCCGCGTCCACATCAGGTCGGAGAACAGCACCTTAGGCAACTCTCGCGGGGCTCAGGGATCCAGCATGATAACTCGAGCCCGAGCTATTCTGTGTCTACTACAACTGACATGACAATGGAGATGACGATGATGAGGGAGATGATGGCTCTGCCACGCTGTGCCTGTGATGATGGTGACGATGACCATGATGTTGACGATTCTGGAGATGATGATGATGGTGATGAAGAACAAGAAAGTGATGTTGATGATTATAATATGAAGATGATACGGGTGATATGATGATGATGATACGGGTAATGATGATGATGATGATGGTGATGATGATGATGATGATGATGATGATGACACTGATGACGATGATGATGATGTTGATGCTGATGCTGATGCTGATGCTGATGCTGATGCTGATGCTGATGCTGATGCTGATGCTGATGCTGATGCTGATGCTGATGCTGTTGCTGATGCTGATGCTGTTGCTGTTGATGCTGATGCTGATGCTGATGCTGCTGATGACGATGATGATGTTGATGCTGATGTTGATGCTGATGATGACGATGGCGATACCGATGATGATTATGATTATGATGGCGATGATGATGGCGAGGTACGATGACGATGGCCCTGGTGACGGTAATGACCGCAGCTATGACTTAAATTACTTGGTCATAGTCTGAACCATGGCCATGACCACATCAATGTGGCAATGGCAGCAGCGAATTCATAGTCGCAGTCGGAGTCGTAGCCGTAGTTGTCGTCGTCGCCATGTAGTAGCAGGAGAAGGATCAGTAACAATGGCAACAGTACAAAGAGCAGACTGTGTTTAGGACAACGACGGCGACTACCACTCCTTCTGCTGCTGCTTCCGCTGACAACAGTCATTAGTTAGCAGTTATACTCATATTGCTAGGCGAGGCCGACGATAACAGCGACGATCATGGCACCGACTTCTACAGTATTGCTCCCACTCATATTCCTGCTCCCACTGCTCTTCCGACAATAACCACCGCCACTACCGCACACACACCAGCCCACGAGTACACAACAGCTCAGTACAGCTGAATCTTGTCGGCAGATGCACATACTCATACACATACACAGACACATATACAAATACAGAGGAAGAGAGAAAGAGAGAGAGAGAGATATATATATATATATATTTATTTATTTGTTTATTTATGTATATTTATATTTACTTCATTGTTTGTACATGCACATTTACATATACATGCACATATGTATACATACTACACACACACACGCATATACATCTACATCTACATGCTCTTATGCATATACATGTTACATATACAAATTAAAAGGATGTGTACATGTTCATGTGCAGATACATGTACATTTGTATGTAAGCATACTATGTGCGTATATGTATCTATATCTACAATGTATAAAGTATACATATGTTATACATACGTATACCCATACCTAAGCCTAAACCTATACCTATACCTTTACGTATACATTGTGCATACGTACACCTGCAAGTTTTGGTATTCGTTCTGGGCATTCGGGGTTTGTTGGACGAGCAAGGCTCTTGCCGTTACCAGATTTTGACCGGAATTGCTACATGAGCTGCGACAGCAGTGCAGACAAATCTGGCTCACTGTCGTGACCAAGAGGCCACCACGGGGTGAACGGCCACACGCGGATCTTTAGATGCTGCAAGCCACTCAAGAGCCTCCAATGAAACTCGCTTCTAGTGCTTGGCGTGCTGAGTGCAAAGGAGCTGGATGCCGATATCAGCCACCATTCTACTGCTGAAATCGCGAGATATACTACTGCCATGACGTGAAAACGCTAAAGTCCCACCTGGGCAAAGTTGCCCTCGCCATCTTGCACCAGGTGCCTCTGCGGGTGATCAAGCTGTGTGGTGATCATTTTGCAGAATCTAGGCTCGAGGAGTTTGTTCAACTGCTCCGTCTCTTTGGGTTGGCGAGTGACGGGCCAAACATGATTCCCCAGGCCCTATGAAGCCTAGCTTCAAGCCTCTAAAAACTAACTGCGTCATGAATATACCACGCGAGGTTAGAGTGGTGGTGCTATTTCCCCCAGGTCGGGTCACAGTCAAGTCATCACCGCCAAAAGCAATCCCTGGAAACAAGAATCGGGTGTTGGACCCAAGTCTTGGTTTAGGTTTAGCGTAGTGTGCCGAGTCTTGGTTTAGGTTTAGGGTAGTGTGCCGAGACGCTTGATGTAGTAGTTCACCCGACGCTGTCCTGGATGTCCATTGCGAAAAACCGGTCAGGCTAGCAAGTCTCTTCGGTCTTGTCTTGCCTTTGCCCTTCCATTTTCAAATTCGCATTAGACAGTCTAGCACCAAAGACTAACACCGAAATGAGTTCAGTTGTGACGGCGTCCTTGGACAGAGATTCGCGAGCGCCAGATCAAGCCATCCAGAAGTGGCCAGATCAACTGACGGGCATCCACACCTGCAGTAGCTCAGGTCGCTTAGGCTGTCCGCCGACACTTGGAGGTTCATGGGTAGTTAGAAGTGGGGTTATAAGTAGGGCAACTACAGTTATAACCCATATTCGAGGACTTATAACCCTACTTATAACTACCCATGAACCTCCGAGCAATCTCTCAAGACAGCGAAACGGACGAATCCTACGACTGTCAACGCTCTCAAATTTTCCTCGATACTGCGCATAGCCGTTGAAAGTACGGACGGCAACATCCCATCTCAACCAACAAGCTCAGGCACAGAGCTTGTGGATGACCTCTGGGTGACGGGTGAACAACGCATCGCAACCTGTCGCAGTGGCGGAGTATGGGCTAGCAGATGCCCAAAAGCTTGCCCTCACTTCCATGAGGACCTCCCTAAACCCTAAACCCTAAACCCTGTGAAGCTGGAGATACGGCCTGGAACACGAGGCTAGGCTTTCGGATGATGTGCATCTGGTCGCGGGTCCCCGATCAATTTAATGAGCATGAGTGAAGGCCGTGACCACCCTCGACCTACATATATTGCTGATACTTTGCTCTTCTGGCGTAACTGTTATAGAAGAGTAATTCTGTAACCATTAGTACTAGTATTATTCTTATGAAACCCGAAACCAAGTCCTTAAGTCTCCCTCGGATGGGGCACCGTAGTAGTAGTTGTCACGGTCTGCCCGGATCGTGAGGAGGTCTTCGACCATCGCCTGCAAGAAGCCAAGCCAACAGTGTAAGTGAGTTTAGGGTTTAGGGTTTAGGGTTTAGTTTATTAGTTTTTGGTATTGTTCCGTCTTCTGGACCAGTCCAGGTTTAGGGCTTAGGGCTATCCTCCATCCATGGACCTGCATGAGGCATTGCCGTTTCCCAGTATAACAAGATGCGAAATTAGAAGATTCCAAGCTGAAGCGAAGCCGAGTTGGTCTGGCTGAACCCCTGAGCCCTAAGCCCTAAACCCTCAACCCTAAACCCTCAATCCTATTTCGTGCGCCCTTTGAGGAACAGCCGTCCATGTAGCACAGACCAAGAGCTTCAAGGGCTTCCCCAGCTCAAAATCCTACAAGCTCGCAGAACCGAGACCACAGCAACAGCCAGAGAACCCTAAAGCCTTGCAGCCCGAAACCCTGGGGTTTAGGGCTTAGGGCTTAGGGTTTAGGGTTTAGGACCCTAAACCCTAAACCCTAAACCGGTTCAGGGTTAAGGGCCCTACCGCATACCGGCTGCCTTGGCACAGTTATGGCTTCCACTTTCGATGGACCAGTAGAGAGGTGATATGGATTGGGTCCCCACCTTGGCTCAGGCACAGGGTTTAGGGTTTAGGGTTTAGGGAGTAGAGAGGTGATATGGATTGGGTCCCCACCTTG